CCTTCCCCCCCGCACGCACACACACACACACACACACTTGTGCTGGATGAGAGCATAGTGTGCGACTACTGCCTGTGTGGCGGATGCCTGATGAGAGCATAGTGTGCGACTACTGCCTGTGTGGCGGATGCCTTGTGTGGTGTTGTGTGTGTGTGTGTGTGTGTGTGAGTTGAAGGACACTACATCCGTGCAGGCGTGGGGTGGATATCATGACCGGCAGGGATCCACTTTTGTACACCGTGTCATGGCTGTAGTGGTTAAGAGACTCAGCTCTTGAGGCTGAGGGCGCCGGTTCGAATCCGTGCGTGCACGGAGGAGGTCATGTGGCTGAAAAAGTACAGACACGCACACACGCACATACAACCAAAAAAAAAGGAAAAAAGAAAATCTGCAAGGAATATGAGTGTGAGCAAGATACAGAAAACCGAGTTGCGAAATCACACAGCTGTCCAAGTAGTCGTGTCCCAAGCAGAGAGTACAAATGCAACCATCCATTTAGAGCAATACAATGAAGTAATGAGCCAATGTTCAAGCCCGTAGGCCACACCAACACAGTGTCCAAAGTCACTCTGCTCTGTCTGGCGCTCAGCGCCCAGCCTACTCCACCCGACTATCCTACCTACAGCTGGTTCACGCAACAGGATCACTTCGACTCTCAAAGACCAATGTACATGACTGCCAACACCATCGCCGACCTCTGTTCATGTACCAGGTATGTATCTCGTCACCCTCAGTCAGACCTTGACAACCCCACTCTGCGCCTCCTTCCCTGAAGACCACCAGATTCGCCCGCTGTACCACCTGGCGCCCAGCAGCCCGGCTCTGGCTGCCTGCGCCCCGCTGCCCCTGCAGCGCCCCACTTCACCTCTATGCGCCCCGTCAGCGCCCTTGGCAGCAGCGCAGCATCAAGCGAGAGCGCAGCAGCACTTCTGCATTGCCAGCACTGGCCAGAGTGGCTGGCCTGGGCTGCTCTCTTCCTTTTGTGGAAGTGGTAGCCTCCTGGATGCTGCGTGTGGCTGGAAGCTTCCAGTAGCTTCCGGTTGGGACTCAGACCCTGCGCCCAGGCCCGAGACTACAGCTGAGGGCCTGGGCCCTTTTCAGTTGGGCACGGCCTGAGTCTCCAGACTTGGGCTGTTTCCTGCATCTGTGCAGGGCTCCCAGGCAGGTGTGTCGGCGGTACTGCCTTGAAAAAGGCCGATATCGGCCCTGCTTTGTGTGTATGTGTCCAGGCGCAACTGTCAAGGCCTGGGCCAACTGTATGACGCAGCTTTCTGAGGCTCACGCGTCTACCCAAACCAACTGGCGTGGTGCGAGAGCCTGAATACCCACATATGGAAATGTCGAATTTTGACTCTGACGAATATTCAGGCCCGCCTTCACTTGGGGCGGGCACTTGGCTTGCTGGGGGCCTTAGCCCAGATCATGTGATGTCTGATAGGGCCCCCTAGAGGCTTGTTCCTCGCATTCCATCCCCCTTAGCTTCGAAAGTCCGCTGAGATGCTTCATACTGGTGCCTTCCCCTTCAGTTTCTTCTCATAATCTGCCACGATCTGAGGAGCTGTCTTAACAAGTTCCTCCCTTGAAATCCATCGATCTTCCTTCGGATCAGTATGATGCCTGAAATGTACTCTATACTCCCTTGCAGGTTTAGGAGGTCTGCCCCTGCCAGGTGGCTTGGGAACAGGCGTGTCTCTGTGATCCAGGATGTCGTCGACGTCCACGTGGCCATCCATGGTTGGGGGCAGCATAGATCTCCGTGTCGGGAACTGTGCTGTCTCAGCGAAAGGTGCAAGCTTGGAGGCGTGAAAAACAGGGTAAGTGCGTAGGTGACTAGGGATACAAATGACGTACGAGGGACCATCCAAATCATTCCCCACAACATCTAGGACTTCCCAGGGACCGAAATACAAGGGCATTAGTTTCCTAGAGATGCCAAACTCCTGTCCCAACTCACTAGCCTTGACCCAGACACGTTCCCCTACCTGAAATGTGGACTGTCAGTAACACTTGTTCTCAGAAGCAATCATAGCTTCTTGAGATTTCATGATGTGTTCGGCAGTCTGCTGCAACAGTTTTTCATACCGGACACCAAATTCAATTGTTCCAGGAGTTGCAGCAATTCGGTTTTCAGGTAGGAGGAAGTCTAGAGCAGATCTAGGCTTCCATCCCATACGCAGCTGACTAGGATTGACGCCTGTGGTGCTGTGTACAGCATTGTTGTACAGGCTGGCGATGAGAGGTAATTTCTCATCCCAGTCATCCTGGGTGGGCTTGATGTAATGCCTCAACAGGTGCTGCATCACACGGTTCATCTGTTCAGCTGCCCATTTGCTTCGGGATGATTCCGATATGTTCAGCGGCCTTCTTCCACATCTCACTTGTGAAACGCACATCTCTATCGCTAACGATTGTCTTCGGCAGTCCATAGTCACGCACCCAGTTGTCCATGAACAACTTAATGACGTGCTCCGTCCTGGCAGTCTCCGGCATGGCAATTAGTCTAGCATACTTAGTGAACCTATCAACTATGACGAAGATGTGCCTCTTGCCATTCTTGTTGGTCACGAGAGTATCCATGAAGTCCATGGAGATGCTCTGCCCTGGGCCATCAGGAATGGGTAGAGGCTTCAGTAGCCCAAGCGGAGCTCGAGTCCGCGGCTTATCCCGTTGACAGACCTGGCAGGTATGTACGTACTTCTTTGTATCGTCCAGCATATTAGGCCACCAAATCGCTGTACTAAGTTAGCACTAGTCTTCTTGTAGCTGAAATGTCCCATTGCGTCGTGGCACTCACCTAAAAATAAACTACGCAAAATTTCCCTAGATGGAACAACTAACCTTTTGAACCCTACCTTTTCAAGAAAGAGTAACCCATCCACCATCACAAACTCGTCAGTGGTGGCCTTGTCTTTCGCCTGCAGTTTGTTGATGATGTCCATCGTGATG